TATCATTTCTGAGTACTACCTCCAACACAATCCTTTGAGCTTCTGAACTACGGAACTTCGGAATTCGTTTTTCCATGTATCCCTCCGCCAAGATGTAAATACGCAAAATTCGATCCTCCTCTCCCCTTCATTTTAATCCAACTAGCCTTTTTGTTTGTTTGTTTGTTTGTTTGTTTGTTTTGAGACAGGGTTTCTCTGTGTAGCCCTGGCTACAGACCACGCTGACTTCGAATCCAGAGATCTGCCTTCCTCTGCCTTCCAAATGCTGGGATAAAAGGCGTGAGCTATCTCCCACTCCCCACCCCCGGCTTAGCCTTCCTAATTTAGTAGTCCAGACCTGTAACCCACTGCCTCCTCTGGACTGATCTGCTCTCATCCCCATCCCTGGAAACCTTGGGACCCTTCAGTTGTCTCTTGCTATTCCCACTTGGGTGTCACCCCCAAGACATCTTGCTTCATTTATGTAATTTCTCCTTCCCATCTGATCCCTTCCTCCTCTGCACTGTCCCTGCCCTGACCCCAGGTCTCTCAAGAGGCCTGTTTCTCTGTAATGTAACCTTCTTAAGAAAAGGACCAGGCTTGCTGTCACAATGTAGCACACAGTAGCACACAATAGCGCTAACACAGTAGCACACAATAGCGCTAACACAGTAGCACACAGGCCATTGTTAGCTTGGGCATCTGAGGGTGGCATCTGCCCTGGTTCTATCCCCAGCATAGTAAACAACACAGAACAAACAAACAAAGAATTAAAAAAAAAGTTTTCAGCCGGGGGTGTGGCTCAGTGGTCTAGTATGGTGTTCAAGGCCCTAGGGTTACTCCCCAGCATCACCTACAATGTTGGTATCCATGGAAACCTTGAAAGAATGAATAGGTACCCATCAAGGACTCAAGACCTTTGGGACTGAAATCCTCTTCGAGTTTTGACCTCAGTTTAGTTTCACGGAAGAACACATCAGCTCCAGGGTTGGTACTACTTGCAGCTTATACGGCTCAGTAAGTAAAGGTGTTCGCTGTCGAACCTGATGACCCGATTTTGAACCCCAAACCCACTGACCCCTACAAGCTGCCCTCTGACCTTAGTATGCATGTGTCTCCTCTCACAAAATAAGAAAATAAATGCAGTAAAATTGAGAGAAAGGGAACACACCCAGTGACAGGGCAAGCTTCCACTTACAACGTTTGGTGGTCTCTGTTCTCCTGGCCATTTCTGTGTATAAAAACAACATTCTTGTTCAGACATAGGAGGATCTCATGTGAAAAGACAAGGCACCAAGGAAGAATTCAGCATCCCAGGTTGTGAGCAGGTGCTCGCACACACACACCCTTCCCTAGCTCCCAGCTTGGGGACACACTGTCTGGAGTGCTCTCCTTTCCTACATGGTTCACCCTGACTACTTCTGCAGAATACAGTCCTCTCTGATGTCAGTCTCCTGGGGCCCAGGACTTCTCTCCTGTTTCCCAGCACAGTGGGACTAATTGTTTAGCACATGACCCTAGGAGGTAAGAGCCACACCTGTCTTATTCACAGAGGACAGGCACTTCACAGGGGACAGCTAACTCTGGCATTAGTCTCTGGTGTGTAGTAAATACATGGAGCCCGGGATTGGGTAAACAATGAAGTTCTTTGTTCTTGGCTTATGAATGAAGACATGAGGGGTTGGTGTTGCAGTTAAGTTGTAAGGAGTCCGCCTAGCACGCATAAAAGCCCTAGGTTTGGGCTGGGAGATGGCTCAGTGGTTGAGAGAGAGCACTGGCTGCTGCTCATCCAGAGGACCAAGGTTCAGTTCACAGCACCCACATGGTGACTCACAACCATATCTAACTCCAGTTCTAGGCAAATCTGCTGCCCTCTTCTCACCACGAAGGCTGCTTCCTACATGTGGGGCATTGTGCCAGTGTTGCCTCTGCCTCCCGCCTGCCGCCTGCCAGGATTACAGGTGTGTATCTAAATGCCAGTTCCCTGACTCCTTTCTTCTTCATCTTCCTGCAATCGGAGATAGCAGAGGGTAGTTAAATAACATGAAGGGAGGGTGGCAATTTGATCCTGGTTCCCAAGGCCCTCTGTTTATTGCAGTCGGTTGTGAAACAGCTGCCTATGGGGACTTGCTGGCCAAACCCCTAGAGAACATGGTCACGACAAAAGCACCTGTGGCTCAGGGAGCTACAGCTCCAGGATGCAAATGTCTCAAAGAAAACCAATTTGGTTTGCAACACCTTAAAGCCTTCTTAGGATGGGTTAAGATCCTCAGAAAGCCGAGGCGTCTGAACGTAGGAATGTTCACTGGAGAAAGACACAGACAAAGCAGCATAGGCAGGTGGTGATACCAGGTTGCAAAACCCACCTTCTAAAAGGCAGCTATTGTAGACGCTGGGGTGTGGCTCAGTGGCAAAGCATTTGCTTGGCAGGGTTAGACGCCATCATCTACATCAACATCTACATAAAAACCATCAACAAAGCCGGGCGTTGGTGGCGCATGCCTTTAATCCCAGCACTCGGGAGGAAGAGGCAGGCAGATCTCTGTGAGTTCGAGACCAGCCTGGTCTACAAGAGCTAGTTCCAGGACAGCCTCCAAAGCCGCAGAGAAACCCTGTCTCGAAAAACAAAACAAATAAATAAACAGTAAAGGACACTGAAGTTTCTGGTGCACTCAGTCACTCTACAAATACTGGGGATCCAGGCTCTAACCCAGGAGAGACCCCTTCTGAGTGGGTATGTTATGATGCTCAAACCACAGTCCCTGGAGAAGTTAATTCTTGTCAGGCAACTTCTCAGTTCTCTGGTACAATAATAATATTGGGAGTGGTACCCTGTGCCAGGACTACTTTGTCTCTTTCAATCCTCGCAACCTCCCTAGGAGCTATCCCAGGACAAAACTGAGGTCTAAGGGCTTAGTCACACCCAAGGGCTCACAGGTAGCTACACAGTAAGAGACCAGAGACCCAGTCCCTGGGTTTCCAGTGCAAATGCTGCGCTAGGCACTCACAGTGCTCAGAGCTAGGGATGGGTGGCCGGATGGAGAGGATGGGCGGGCATTGGGGAGGAGAGGTGGCTCTGGGAGACCACTCACTACAGGTCTGTGAATTCATAGTCTCACAGTAACACACAGCCTCCTAGCCAGAAGGCTCATTTTTCAAAGAAACATTCTGGTAAGGTTTTTAGTGTTCAGGTTTCTGTCTTTTGCTCTGAACTGACAAGCTGTGTGACTTCTGAGCCTCTCCACACTATCTCCATCCCCAGGATCAGTGGGCCTGAAGCTGCTGACTGACTCTGCCTCCGTCAAATATACCAAGAGACAACATAATCAAGTCACCTGCTGGAAGTGTCCCAGGTAGAAGGGTACCCTGGCCATGCTGGGATGGGAAGAGTGGGACACCGAAACCAATTCTGCCATCCCTGGCTCTTTTGGTCTTCCTGGAGGAATGTCCACAGCCACAACCTTGGCCTTCCTTCTCTGTGGCTGGATGAGCATGGAGCATTCATCCCAACTTGCCACTGATGGATAGTGACGCCAGCCCTGGTTGGTTCAAGTGGCACTGACAATTTTGCTCACAACCATTGCAATATATGTAGTCAGGAACTTTGAGATTAAAAGGTGCCAGATTTGATAAAGGAAGGTCCTGCCTGGTGTCCAGGCCTGTGCCCAATTCCAGTCTTTTTATTCTTAAGAGAACAAGTTATTTGTGAGTTTCCCGTTCCTTAAAATGTCCCCAGGAACTTTTAAACTAGCTTGGTAATATATCTCCTAGGCCCTTAGCAGCTACAAAATCGATTCATAAAGCTTTTGTTTCTTTTCCCTGATTTTTTTTTTTTAAAGCACAAGCATAAACCAGGTTGCAAAGCCCTAGTGACACACTCTGACAAGCGGGTGCCTGCAGAACCTGGCTCCTGCCGCCTGCGCCAGTGTCACCGTGACACAGCCTGGTTTGGGGAAGATGGTTATGTTCCCCATTCCAGAGTCTCAGTGTGACAAACTTGCAACTGCAGACTCATGAGGAGGACTTGGTGCACACGTACAGACACGGATACAGTTCTGTTTCTCTCATTGGCTACAGGGAAAATGTTCTTTAAAGGATCAGAAATGTTTCCTCAGGACTGGAGAGGTGGCTCAATGGTTAAGAGCACTGTTTGGTCTTCCAGAGGACCTGGGTTCAATTCCCACTTCCCACATGGCAGTTCACAACTGTCTATAGTTCCAGTTGCAAGGGCTCTGATGCTCTCACACAGACATACATGTAGGCAAAACATCAATGTATGTAAAATAGGAAAAAAAATTTTAAATGTCCTCCCCACCCCCGCAAGGGAAATGTTTCCTTAATGCTCCTGTGTACAGAGAAGGCCCTGGCGGGGGGTGGGCAAGTACACTGGACTGAGTTTGATGGAGGGTAACACTGGGGACACTTGCTGGAATGAGACCTTAGAACTGAGGGAAAACTCTAAAAGCAGACCATAGCCCTCCCTTATTATGCCACAGTGTAGGAACAAAACATCACTGTAAACTTAAAGATGCCCCTTAATGTCGCTGTTTTTGCCCATTGAGTGCACTGCAGTCTAGCAGAGGGTGAGGCGGTGAAGCGATGCTTGTCAGTTGTCTCATGAAGGAGCCAGGCTCTGTGGCTTCTGGCCCAGGTGCAGTCCGTGGACTCAGACTGCTTCTGCATTTTCTTTGACAGTTGCCACCAGAGTTAAGCATGGCCAGTGGTGCTCGTTGGAATGGCCATGCACAACTGCTTGGGTGTTCTGCTGAGAAAGAAAATAGTCTGGCCTTCCCAGGAGCCCAGAATACCTCCTCCCCGTCACAGAGGCCAGCAGTGCAGACAGCACTCCAAAGGAAGGGCATGAGTGGCTGACAATGACGTCCATGAAATATATATACCACGAGGAAGGCCTGCCACAGGCTGAGCCACCCCTATCAGGCCTGCGGATCCAGCTGCAGTGACTGTTCCCACCTTTGCCCACTCTTCTCACTCACAGACAGCACAATGTCCACCTTTGTATATTCCATTGCCTATGAGAAATTGGTTTTTAATGTCTAAATGCTCTAAAAATCAGGGTGGGAGCAGGCACATACAGAAAAAGGAATACTCTTGGAAAAACACTCTCGTGTGTGCAAGCACACACAAAGTCCTTTGTGCTGCCAACATTCTCAGTGACTTCACACAAACAACTGTCCGGAACTGTCGGAAACGGCTAAGCCAAGAATTTCGGTTGTGAATATTTCTGCAGTGATTTCGTCTGGAAGTTCTTTTTCCAGGCAGATTTCTGAATCTGGACAGGCAAGAAAAGAAAACCAAATGCCTTTGCGGTGATGAAGCTCCTAAGAAGAGGGAGAGTTCTCAAAAACCCAAAGGAGCAACACAAGGCAAAAGTGGGTGGTGGCTCAACTTCCACACCAAGGCTTAAACCATCTGTAACTCCACTTCCAGGGGACCCCGAGCTCTCTTCCAGCCTCCCTGGGCACCAGGCATGCACATGGAACACAGACATACACTCAGGCAGAACACCCTACACATACAACGAGAGCCTTGACAGAAAAGAAAAAGCAGGCAGTACTTTGTGCTAAGTGCCACCTTTGACTCTTCAAACTAGGTCATTACGGAGTACAGACATGTTAATCTGGCAAACCTGGTTAGACATTAAAAGGAAGAGGTGGCAGGGAGACAGGCCAGGAATCTTTGCTTCCATAGTCTTAGAAGCTGTAGGCTTGACCACCAACCAACCACCCTGGGCTTGTGGGTAGAGATTTTCCAGCCTAAGTAGGCCTGGAAGAGCTGTTAGTGACACCTGTTAGTGAAAACTGGCTGAGTAGAGGCAGAGGTGGAGCACGCTTGGGGTACAGCAAAAAGAGGAAAAGGAGTTTTCATTCATTTGGTGCTGGGAATAGAATCCAGGACTCCAAGCATGTGAGGAAAGCACCCCCCCAACATCAAGCACACCCCAAGGCTAGGATGACCCCAGAGAACTTGAAGCTGACGGGGAGATGTCATGGACTTCAGATTCCCAGAACCCACACAAGCCCATCAGCGGAGAGGCCTCCTAGCCAGCTCCAGGCTTGGGCGATAGCTGAGTGGACTCTCCATAACTGAAGAGCCCCAGATTTGGCAAGAGGTTCTGTCTTCATGAATATAGGAGAAAATGACCGAGGAAGACATCACAGAACAAGCAGAGCTCTCATCTGGCAAACATAGCCATGGATCACTGGCTCAATGGCTCCTCATCGTCTATTCATGGGATTCCCAGCAGACTGACTCTGTTGTGTGCAGGGTCTTAAGGAGAGTGGCTTGCACCAGTCAGGAGGAACAAACATACTTAAGTCTATAACAAATTAGTGAGTGGCAGCTACAAGCCCAGACAAAGGCCAAGTACCTCTGACGGAGGTGGCTGCAGGCTCCGATTTCCACCCCTCAGGATTCAGGCCGAACAGTGTGGAGAAGCAGTCATACATCTCCTCCTCTGTCATGTGCTCACCTGGGCGTGGGGGAGGGGGGGTAAAAGGAGTCTGGTTAGCCCTGGGGCTCTGACATTGGGGTTGAGAACTATAAGAAGGTCTTTTGTTTGTTTGTTGTGAAGCTGAGTCTCCTGTATCACAGCCTGACCTCAAACTCTATAAAGTTAGGGTGACCTTTGAACTCCCAATCTTCTTGCCTCCACCTCCCAAGTGCAGAGGAATTACAGAATTGGGCCACCAGACCTGGTTTACGCAGTACTGGGGATCCAACCCAGGGCTTGCAGCAAGCTAGCTAGGCAAGCAATCTACAACTCAGCTACACCTCCAGCCCTGCTGGGAACTTTCCATCTTTCTGCCTGGACTTCCCCAGTGCCAGGATTACAGCTGTGTGCCACCCCTTTAAAAAGAGCTTTAAAAAGAGCTCTCTCTTTTTAAATTTTACATTTGTGTGTGTGTGTGTGTGTGTGTGTGTGTGTGTGTGTGTGTGTGTGTGTGTGTATGCCCGTGTGTACCCGACATGGTGCATGTTCAGAGGTCAGAGAACAGCTTCTGTTCTCTCCTGACATTCTGTGGGTCTTAGAGACTAAACTTGGGTCCCTAGCCTTAGCAGTGAGCACATTGCCCGCTGAGCCATCTCACTGGCCCAGAGAGCTTAAAAAGATGTACTCTGTCATTCTTTAGATAGGATGACCCATAGAGTACTATTCTGTCACAATACTTCCTTATGTGGTGTTCCAAAGCAGGGAGAAGATGTTGGGGCTTGTAGAAAGAGGCAAGGCAATGCCATCACAAAGGTTGGACTCTGCGTTATTTCAAGCTCTGTCTTCTCAGAGCCCTCCCAGGTTGACTTCGATAAAAAAGCCTCATACTTGCCAGGTATGCAAGACAGTTCAAGGCCCTCACACAGGAGGTGTGGTCTTGACATCACAAACCATCCTGACCTTATTATAGCCCAAGGAGATTGATAAACTGGCAAACACCTCCCCATTTTACAAGTCAAGCTGGGTGTATGCCTCCAATCCGAGAGAGAACTAGGGAGGTTGAGGCAGGAGGATGAAGAGGCTAGCCTCAGCTACAAAACAACAATTCAAGACTTGCCTGGGCTACAAAACAGTACATGAGCATGCTGAGACCAGAAGTCTTGGGAAGCTGAGTGAGAAGCACACTTTTCTTTACATATGTTTTTGCACTTTTACTTATTTATTGTGGATGAAGAAAGGGAGCATGTGCCATGGCCTGTGCTTGGAGGTCAGAGTACAACTTTTTCTGCCATGTGAGTTCTGGGTGTTGAACTCAGGTCATCAGGCTTTGTGGCAAACACCTTTACCCACTGTGTCATCTTGCAGGCCTGTGAGTCCCATGTTTCTCATTTCTAGGTCAGGGACCTTCTCATTAGCCCATCTTTGTCAGATACACAAGACAGTACGAGATGACCCTGGAGGGTGACACCCTGTCACATGGCAGTTCATCATAACAGATGGAGATCCCCACATGCCCTCCTGCTTTAATGGGGCCTTCTCTGCTGGGAATGGCTCAAGGATGCCACCAGATGTCCTTGCTTGAATATTACCTTTAGTGAGGAGTAAGTTCAGGAAATCCTCTCTCCGAATAGCCTTTTCCCCTTGGGAATTGGTGAAACCCAGCACATTAAAGCTATTCTGGATGCCAGCCAAGGTGTTCCCAAAAGGTGGCCTATGATTGAGATAAACTTTGAGGAAATCAGGTAAGTTGATTTTGTCGATCAGCCTCCCAGTGTCCACGTATTCGCTAAACTTGATTTCATTAAACATGTCATCAATCTAGAGAAAGAACAGAAAATAAAACAAAGACTGTGGTTCACACAAAAGATACTTGGCTATGCTGCTCCTGAAAACTGGAGAGAGGCCTGTGCTATGTCCTCCTAGGAATGATGCTGAAGCCCTAAACTGGGGACCGTGTAAGAAATGGGGTCATGGCAGATGTAATTATAAAATGAGGTCATGCTGGAGTAGGGTGGCTTTCAATCCAATATGCCCATCATTGTGCCATTACAGCTTGGAGCCACACAGGGTGATTCCATGCACACCTGTTTCCTCCTGGTCAGGAAACAGAATGCAAGTGTCAGAACGTAGGAGGAGCCCCAACCCGACAGCTGTAACAGGGAGCATATGGCACTGATGATACTGATTTTATATTCTATCAGAGGATAAAATTTTGTTGTTTTTGCACATTCTAGCACCCTGGACTCAGTCCTTGCATTAAAATAAAATATACTAATAAATAAATAACGTTTTAGAAGGCTTACTTTCTGAAATTATGTCTATGCGTGTGTGTCTCTCTGTATACATGTGTGAATGCAGGCACCTGTGTATGCCAGAAGAGGACGTGGACCCTTTGGAGCTGGAGTCACAGGTGGCTGTGAGGCGACCTGATGGTACAGGAACCAAATCTGGTCCTCTGCACGAACAGCAAGCACTCTTAACACCCTCCACCCCCGCCATCTCTGCAGTCCCTAACTTCTTTTGTTTTGTTTTTTTAAAGATTTATTGTCATTATGTCCATGTATGTAGGAAGTATGTGCACATGAATGCAAGTGTCTACAGAGGTCACATATGTGAGGAGTTGTAAGGAGTTGTAACAACAGGCAGTTGTAGGCCACCTGATGTGGGTACTGGGAATTGAACTCGTGTCCTCAGGAAGAGCAGCCAGTGCTCTTAACCACTGAGCCATCTCTGCAGCCCCCACTTCTGTTTTTAAGCCACTCAGTCCATGGCACTTTGTCCTGCCCTGAAGATGTCACACTGTCCATACCATGTAGACTGTCACAAATACTATTCTACTATGTCACTTTTCACCCTGAGGATCAACTACTTCCTCACCCTGAGATACGTGTCAGTTTGTTTTAAGGGTAGAATCTAGCCAAGCTTGGTGGTATACACTTGTTTCCTTATAGTCAGAAAACAAAGGCAGCAAGGTTGTCATAGGTTCGAGACCAATCTGTGCCCACATTGCAAGTTTTATGTTAGCTAGGGCTAGATAGCAAGATGCTGTTTTAATAAACAAGCAAAAAGAGTACTTCCAAAACTATGAAGATAGAACCTACAATAATTTAAAAATAAGTTTAGCTGAATACGTATTTCAAAGAGCAACTCAAATATGTGACTTACACCAAAGTAAATTGCTTTTGTTAAATGAATTTTTAAAGTTAGTATATAGCTAGCTGTGGTGATAAACTCAGGAGGCAGAAATAGAGGCAGGTGGACCTCTGTGAGTTCAAGGCCAGTCTGGTCTGCACAGTGAGTTTCAAGCCAGCCAGAGCTGCATAGTGAGGCCTTGTCTCATAAAAAAAAAAAAAAGAAAGAAAAGGATTATAAGAAATTCACTAAAATCTATTAGAACTGGTAAAAAGTTTCAGTGATATTTCAGGGCATGATATCAATATGTGAAAATCAGAGTTGAAGAGATGGCACAATAGTTAAGATCAGTAACTGCTCTTACAGAGGACCTGGGTTTGGTTTCCAGCACCCACATGACAGCTTGTAACCATCCATAACTCCAGTTCTGACGCCCTCTTCTAACCTCAGCAGGCACTGCACACACATAGTGCATATACATACATGAAGGTAAAACACTCACACACATAAAATAAGAAGTTCAATATTTCAAAGTCGATTTTATTTTCATACAATGAACACCATGAAGATTAAGAAAATAATCCCATTTCTTTTTTTAAATGCATGCATGTGTATGTATGTGTGCGTTGTGTGTGTGTGTGTGTGTGTGTGTGTGTGTGTGTGTGTGTGTGTGTAGTGTAATGTATGGGTACATGTGAGCCCCAGGGCACACATGAAGAACAGAGGACACCATGTGGGTTTGACATTTATCTGCAGAACCATATCACCAGCCCAATAATTTTATTTCTAGTAGCATCAAATTCAATAAATACTTAGGAATAATTTTTTAAAAATTAGCTCTAAAAACTAAATAATGTTGACATTGAGAAAAGCACAAATTAATGGAAAGAGGTCCTTATTCAGTGCTTGGAAGACTCAATAGTGCTAAGGTGACTGCACTCCAGGCTGATAAAGGTCACTTGCCTGGCACGTCCCGGACCTGGAGTTCCACCCTCAGCACTACCAGAAAACAATGGGACAGAGTCCTGAACCTCAGCTAGCTTTTTTATTATTGTGGAAAGTGACAAGCAGATTCTGAAATTAATTCAAGAATTGATAAAATAGTAGAAAAAATAGAATAGACAAAATTGTAGGGATACAATGGACTAAAGCTTCTCAGTTTCAAAGCTCACTACCAGCCTACAGCCATGAACATAGCGTGGCTCTGGCATAATGGCAGAACAGACACTACGCTGAAACAGAACTAAGAGCATGGAAAAAGGACTGGCAAGATGGCCCAGAGGTTAAAACTGCTTGCTGCTCCTACAGAAGACCTATGCTGGTTCCAGCATTCACATTTGGTGGCTCACACCCTGTCATTCCAGACCCAATGCCCTTTTCTGGCCTCTGTGAACACACCACATACACACACACACACACACACACACACACACACCATGGTGTACATATGGAGGACCCAGGGTCAACCTCCTGGCATTAAGCCCTGCTTCTACCACATGGATCCTAGAGACTGAACCTAGGTCATCAGGCTCACAACTAAGCACCTCTACCTACTGAGCCATCTTGCCAGTCACACACATTTTGCTGTTTTTAATCTTAATTTTATTTTTTTATTATTCTATTTGAGACAGGGTCTCACTGAGTCGCCCTGACTTGCCCGGGATTCACTATGTAGACCAGGCTGACCTGAAACTCTCATAGATGCTCCTGCCTCTGCCTCCAGAGTGCTGGGACTAAAGATAGGGGCCACCATGTCTGACTTAATTTTAATTTTTGCTGTTAAATAAAACAGCAAAGCTGTTAAATAAAAGTTAAAACTGCTTGCAATCCAACTGCCTCCAGCCAGTTACTCATTTTTTATTATGATTTTTAAAGCCACCAACTAACTAAAGAAGAAAGTCATCCGCACCTCTCTTTCCTCCATGCGTGGCTTTCGTGAGACATCATGAATCTCACGCTTCGTGGAAACATTATCTAGACTTTCCATTCTCACCACCTCACTGGCTTATATGGGTTTGTTACTTGAGCATGTGTCTCCAAACCAGGGGTTATTTACTTTCACTTTAGGGATACTTAAAAAAAAAAAAAAAAAAAAAAAAAAAAAAAGATCATTTAAAACCTGTTGCTCTCAAGCTGTTCTCTGAACAATTACAGCCTGCTGGGGCCTCCGTTTTCATTCTTTCCCTTGCAGAAATCTGCTGCTTAGATACATGTGTCGTGTTGGAGGGAAAAAGGTGTGACCATTTTTCCCTATGTGTGAAGTAGAACTGCTAGATGCTGGCAGCCCGAGCTCTTGGGAAATAAATAGCATTATTGGTTACGAGGAACTGTAACTGAAACTGTGTATGCACTGTATGGGGACACTGCTGCATAACATTTACTGGGGTTACATTTGACACAACTGCACAGCTGCACCTTAGATTATACAGGCGTTGGTGGTGCACGCCTTTAATCCCAGCACTCGGGAGGCAGAGGCAGGCCGATCTCTGTGGGTTCCAGCCTGGTCTCCAGAGCGAGTGCCAGGATAGGCTCCAAAGCTACACAGAGAAACCCTGTCTTGAAAAACCAAAAAATAAAAAAATCGGTCAGTACCCTTATCTGCTGAGCCATCTCTCCAGCTCCAAGAGCAGTAACTCTTAACTGTAAGCTCTTAGCCACTGAGCCATCTCTCCAGTTCCAGTTTTAATAATTTTAATAGTATCAGGGCTGGAGAGACGGTTCAATAGCTAAGAGCACTGGCTGCTCTTGCAGAGGACCCGGGTTTGGTTCCTACCACACACATGGTGGCTTACAACTGACTGTGACTCTAGTTCCAGAGGATCTAATGCCCTTTTCTGGCCTCTGTGGGCACCAGGCACATAAGAGATGTACAAATATACGTGCATGTGAAACAAACATTTTTAAAAGATAAAATGTAAAAATTTTAAGAATTTTAATATTGTTAAGATATATACACACGACCACTTACTTAGTAGAGAGTATAGTTAAGTGACAGCTTCAGAGAAAAATCTATCTTCAAATTCCAACACTGCCATTTTCTGTGTATGGCTTTTTGAATGAGTTAATACTACTTATTTCCAACTTTCTTATCTTGAGAGAGTAGAACAAAGCATAACACATACATAGTGGGGAGGTTTGTGCTTTGTTTAGTCTGGGTTTTATTTTTGTGGATTTTTTTGAGACAGGGCCTCATGTAGCTCCATCTTGCTATGCAGCGGAGCCTGACCTTGAACTTCTGACCTCAGAGGCATGTGCCAGCATGCCTGGTTTATGTGGTGCTGGGGTCTCACCCAGGCCATCCTGCATGCTAGGTGAGTGCTCTGCCATCTCAGCTGCAGCTCCAGCCCGCACGGGGTTGTTTTGAAGCATACAAGTAAAGTGTCTGCACAGGGTAGGGACTGAACAAGACAGTAATTATACCGTGATTATTATATTTTCTATGTGCTTACTAATTAGAATTCATGTAATTACAATATAAATTATAATTCTATGTTAATCACATAGGATCAGATTTATAAGTAATAAGTATATATAAATGATAATACATATATATTACTGCTGGAATATATGATTTAGCTCAATTCCTAAGTATGGGACTATGATGACAAAGGGAATTGAAATGTCTGCATTAGTCACACCCAGAGCGTCCCAAGATCTCACAAGCATCGGCAGCACAGAGCACTCGG